GAAAATCGTAGGGCCGCCCCATTGGGCCCCAAATTTCAATTGGGTCCCGTGGGCCCCAGGTGGGCCCCATCGAAAAATGTTACTTGGGTTTTTTGTTTGGGAAATTACGCTCTTTCCAATGATGTGCATATTGCCGGGGTTGGTCGCGAAATTAGGGGCAATACTTAGAAAGGGCCTTTTTGGGGCCCTCTTTGGGCCCCTTCCTTTGGATTCCCCGGTAGGTTTCTTCAGCCAGATTGAAGAAGGGGCCCAGGAGAGTGTCTGTGCAAATTTTGAAGAAAATCGTAGGGGCCGCCCCATTGGACCCCAAATTTCAATTGGGTCCCGTGGGCCCCAGGTGGGCCCCATCGAAAAATGTTACTTGGGTTTTTTGTTTGGGAAATTACGCTCTTTCCAATGATGTGCATATTGCCGGGGTTGGTCGCAAAATTAGGGGCAATACTTAGAAAGGGCCTCTTTGGGGCCCTCTTTGGGCCCCTTCCTTTGGATTCCCCGGTAGGTTTCTTCAGCCAGATTGAAGAGGGGGCCCAGGAGAGTGTCTGTGCAAATTTTGAAGAAAATCGTAGGGGCCGCCCCATTGGGCCCCAAATTTCAATTGGGTCCCGTGGGCCCCAGGTGGGCCCCATCGAAAAATGTTACTTGGGTTTTTTGTTTGGGAAATTACGCTCTTTCTAATGATGTGCATATTGCCGGGGTTGGTCGCGAAATTAGGGGCAATACTTAGAAAGGGCCTCTTTGGGGCCCTCTTTGGGCCCTTTCCTTTGGATTCCCCGGTAGGTTTCTTCAGCCAGATTGAAGAGGGGGCCCAGGAGAGTGTCTGTGCAAATTTTGAAGAAAATCGTAGGGGCCGCCCCATTGGGCCCCAAATTTCAATTGGGTCCCGTGGGCCCCAGGTGGGCCCCATCGAAAAATATTACTTGGGTTTTTTGTTTGGGAAATTACGCTCTTTCCAATGATGTGCATATTGCCGGGGTTGGTCGCAAAGTTAGGGGCAATACTTAGAAAGGGCCTTTTTGGGGCCCTCTTTGGGCCCCTTCCTTTGGATTCCCCGGTAGGTTTTTTCAGCCAGATTGAAGAGGGGGCCCAGGAGAGTGTCTGTGCAAATTTTGAAGAAAATCGTAGGGGCCGCCCCATTGGGCCCCAAATTTCAATTGGGTCCCGTGGGCCCCAGGTGGGCCCCATCGAAAAATGTTACTTGGGTTTTTTGTTTGGGAAATTACGCTCTTTCCAATGATGTGCATATTGCCGGGGTTGGTCGCGAAATTAGGGGCAATACTTAGAAAGGGCCTCTTTGGGGCCCTTTTTGGGCCCCTTCCTTTGGATTCCCCGGTAGGTTTCTTCAGCCAGATTGAAGAGGGGGTCCAGGAGAGTGTCTGTGCAAATTTTGAAGAAAATCGTAGGGGCCGCCCCATTGGGCCCCAAATTTCAATTGGGTCCCGTGGGCCCCAGGTGGGCCCCATCGAAAAATGTTACTTGGGTTTTTTGTTTGGGAAATTACGCTCTTTCCAATGATGTGCATATTGCCGGGGTTGGTCGCGAAATTAGGGGCAATACTTAGAAAGGGCCTCTTTGGGGCCCTCTTTGGGCCCCTTCCTTTGGATTCCCCGGTAGGTCTCTTCAGCCAGATTGAAGAGGGGGCCCAGGAGAGTGTCTGTGCAAATTTTGAAGAAAATCGTAGGGGCCGCCCCATTGGGCCCCAAATTTCAATTGGGTCCCGTGGGCCCCAGGTGGGCCCCATCGAAAAATGTTACTTGGGTTTTTTGTTTGGGAAATTACGCTCTTTCCAATGATGTGCATATTGCTGGATTTTGTCGATGTTATAGGCCTGAAATTGTTGAAAACGTTTATTTATGCCGAGGGCATACTCCCGGGCCCATATATTTGAAGCTGTTTTGTTCGGTTCAGGGGGGCGCTAGCCCCCTTAATTTGGTACCGTTGCATGTAAAATTTTGTCCTCTTTCGAATGACGTGCATTTTTAGCTGTTTTGACGGCTAGAAGTAGGGTTTTCAAAGTTCGTCGATTGTGCCCTGAGGGCATACTGTTTTTTGGGATTTGTGGCCCCCCTGATGGATTCCCCGCATTTTGGCACTAGGATTTTCGATAGAGGACACCATTCTGCACCTCTCCACCAAAATTCAGCGAAATCGTAGGGGCCGTCGATCCCTGCTGAATCCCTGCTGAACCCCTGCTGAATCCCTGCTAACTTCCGTTACATCTTTGCAGACGTCACCCGAGCTGCCATATCTATGTCTCACTTGCGCAACAATTGTCTTTTCATGGTTAAATATATAACAAAACATATCTAACCTGACCTTACCTTACCTACAACCTACAACCTACCAACCTACAACCTAACCTACCAACCTACAACCTAACCTACCAACCTACAACCTACCAACCTACCTAACTGGATATGGCAGCTCGGGTGATGTCTGCTAAGAGAATCCCAGGGAATATTCCTCAGACCGTTTGGGCAGGCTTCTACGGAGAGTGCGCAAAAACTAGCCACTAGGTATATCTCACTCTCAGGGGCGGCGCCACGGGTTTTCGATAGGGGGGGACGGGGACGGGGGCTTGCCTGACTGAGAATCCCAAAAGTAGATACTGATCGTGTATGCAAAAAAAAAAAAAAAAAACGAGGCACGTAACGCCGCGAAACTTGGCAAAGCCCAAAACACATCGAATGGTGCATCCCGTTTCCAAACTTATCATAGGACAACTATAAGATCGATCACCTTTTCAAGCATCCTTGCCTCTAAATCAAAATTTGCAGTCTTGCCAACTCAAAGCTGGTTTCCTACAAGCTGCGAATTGCTTAGGTATGAGTAGCAGTGCCAACTACTTACGTTTCGTACTTTCAAATTTTCGATCTTGCGTCTGGTCAGCTTCATGGCTTCATCATCATATAGTCATGGAGGAAAAGTGGGAATGTTTTCTGCTCAGACAAGTGCGCCAAAACTGCAATATAATTTCAGAATCATGACATCACCACCTGATCCATATGCAACGGGCAGGGTGCAGCTAATGGCTAGCCGTCAGTGGTCATGTCATCGGTGGTCACTCAAAAGGTCATGCTAGGTCATGGAAGGTCACCAGCCGTTATTTGATCACACTTTCTGATGGATTTTACTTACCAAGAGCTTCAAGGGAAAAACGAGCGCATGCCGCATGCACCGTTGAAAAAATTGAGTGAAAGGGTCTCAGGTCCGGCGACCTCTGCAGGTGAAGTGCCCCAGGGTAGGATTCCGGTCCTTGTTGATTAACTTCGTCAAAAATTGCGGTACATAGAGCTGTGATGTCGGCACCATTGTGTTCGTCATGATCGAGCTGTCACGACCTGCATCGTTCTCATATTCACCCTCCAATCGTAACAACTACAGCAGGGATTGGCAAATGGCGTGGCACCCCTTTGGGAGGTAATGAAGGTCTCTTGAAACCTCATCCCTCATCTCTTTAGCATCAGTGGCTCTCCTTATGGAACAGGTTTCTTGACTGGTCTGTTTCACCCCAGAATTCAAAGACTAGTCAAGGTAAAACCGAGCGCACCACAGTGAGCACAATTTGATAAGCTGGTGTATCTCAATTTCATGTAGAACCTTTCACGTATCACGTACCTAAAACCCTTTCGTGCACTCATGCAAAAGCAACTGCCATGTTTCAACAGCTGGTAATGGCATTTTCACAGCCGCTGACGTAAGAAGGGGAGGGAAGGGGGCTTGATTAGACCCCCAGCCGTTCGGCCGCCGACCGAACTTAGTTTTGCAGAAAAAAAAACGAGTGCTATCGAACCCCTTGACGAGAGGGTGCCGATGCTACCCAATTATAAGATCTTGGGCTACGGCGTGCTTTTTTGGTCCTGCCTGTGATCTATCCGAACACTTCTGCCCACAAGTGCTGGGTTAAATGGCATATATTTCAAATGGTTCCTGTGGTAGAGCTGCCATGCTTGAATTTGACTAATTAGGAATGGAAAATATCCATATAGTAACGGAAATCTATGGAATTTCAGTAAACTTGGTTTTGTCGGCAATGTGGTCTGGCAGTGGGGTGGGGGAGGTAATAAACCCTGTCTGGCGCCCCAAAAAGGGGGGGGGGGCACGATCCCCGAGGCCCTGCCGATCACCTTATGACTACAGGCATCACAGCTCCACACCTTTTGCAGATGGCCAGGACCCCCTGCGATACATCCCAACAGCAATCTTTATTCAGAACCTGTCTTGATTAACCAACGATGCATTAAATGCGACGGATAACTCTACAATGCATTATTATCAACTATTGAACGGACCTCGCCGATAGGGGGGTACTGTACCCCCCTAACTTTCGATAGCGGGGGACCTGTCCCCCCCGTCCCCCCCGGTGGCGCCGCCCATGCTCACTCTGCATTTTGGGTCCGCGCTACTTGGAGATACTCCTTAGTCCTTTCTAGCCTAACCAGTTACCAAACCAAATCAAATCAAACAAAACCAAACCAAACCAAACCAAACCTGACCTAATCAAACTCATAAATAAAGCTGGTCCTGTAGCTCAGTCGGTAGAGCGTTGGACTCCGCGAGGTGAGAGCTCGTGTCCCGGTATGACGGTCCGGGTTCGAAGCGCGACGGGCGCTCGATGTTTATGAGCCTCCTGGCGGGTATGGTTGCGGTTGGTGGCAGGCCGTAGCCAGGCGAAGTCAGTGAGGGGACCGGCCGTGCGCGGCTATGTGCGTAGTTAAACTTCTGACTCTAAATTCTGCCATGCACCAGGAATTGCACGATCGGAGGGTAGAGGGCAGAGCCATCGCAACGAGCTCTGCTTAGCGGTGGCTCTGTCCTTGAGAATCCTTCCATTCAAAAGGTTCGGACTAAATTTATAAAAAATAAATGTGCCTCCTTATAATCCTTATGATGGTTGCCGTCCGGCCAAATGATAACTATTACGTACCTAATAATTACCTAATACCTAATGATTACTTTGCTTTCTTTCAACATCAATTAATGACTATTTTGTTTTCTTCCAGGAGAGCCAGCGCCATTCCGGATCTGAAAATGCTCTGCATGTCAGCATTGTCTGGTGAGGATTACCAGCAACTGATAAGCACTTGGTAGTGCTGCCAATGTTTGCCATTGATAGTGTTTATATCATAGAGCTTTGCCTTTCACTGTCAATTGTTGATTTCTTTATTTGGGACACATTTCTATGCTTTGCCATCTGATCTTTTTGGCCCCCCTTTCAGACATACTATGCTACCCAGTAGGTACCCTTATGGAATGGTTATGTATCTTACCCAGTCACTAGTCAGTAAGGTCCTTTCCACATATCTGGAAGTAATCTAAATCCTTTCACTTCTGCACATGCAGGGGTCACCCTGTTGCTCACTTGTTTTACAGCCCTATCCTGATTTGCCATCTTTTTGGCCACCTTTCAGACATACTATGCTACCCAGTACCCTAATGAAAGTGTGGTCAAAAATATTGCAAATCAGGATAGGGCTGTAAACAAACGAGCGACAGGCTGACCCCTGCAGAGTCCTTGTTGGAAGCTGGAACTAACTGAACTCAATTAGTACAAGACATGGAAGACATC